GCTGCCAAAGAGATTGTTTGTGATTGTTTTTTAAAATATGTGTACAGGGATTCACACATTAATCACCCCTGGCCCTGGATTGTTACAGCCCCCTAGTTTACAGAAGGTGAACGCGAAGAAGAAGAAGTTCTGATGAATTTTTCTCTATCCAACCTATTTGAGATTCACTTAGCGTCACTGGACTTTGCGACCAGTTGTGTATTGTCGTGTCCTATCTATCCTGCAACTTTTATATCGGTTCAAGTTTCCATCATTGGATCCCTGTCTCCACAGTTATCTCCCATTGGATCCCTGACTCCACAGTTATCTCCCACGTCTGAATTATCACAGATCAGATTTCCTTGCATGACCTGTCAACACATCCCTGACTGCAAATGAAATGAACAAACCAGCTTGATAATGGTGAAGGAAAAGTGTCATGTGATACTTCTCAATTGTCGTGTAGATTTGTACGTGGATCTAACTGTTTGTTTTCCCCAACAATACATTGCCAGAAATTCAGTACCAGCTTCACGAATTTAGTTCTTTCTGAGTTACTTGTTTTCGAGTTTGTGTTTTTATTTGATTTAACTCGTAGTCTTTATCGACTCACTTGTTATTTGTTACTTCGCTAGCGTTTTAAATCACAATTTCAGCGAGAATATTAAAGACACACAATGTTTACAAAGTAATATGACATCATTTGTTGAACTCTGTTGAAAAATAACACTATAAAGGTAATTGTAACAATACAATTTGTGTACTCTGTGAGTAAATGTCAATAATATATATATTTAACGGAATTTTTAAATTAATATACAAAATGCAAATCAATGACTAAAAAGATACTCTTGCACTAAGGCGTGCGTGTAGATTAGTCTTTGTCGGTTTCGTGGTTCAACTACGACTGTTTGGCTTGTAGATTAGTGATTGCGTTCAGCAGTTTCATCATCCCTGAAAACTAAGGTTTAGATTTAACAGCGGTCTGTTTATGTTTACAAGGGCGGGGAAAGAGGCGGGGGGGGGGAGTTTCTCGTGGTTTCTGAACAGCGGCAAATGCTGGTAATGACTGCGTATATCATCAGTCTTCATTATAAATACAACACGCAACTTACAAAAAAACTTTGAGAAAAGAAAAAAAAAATTAGGATATCAACACATAGATTCAATTTCCACATTTTATCTGACGATAATTATAAACAGTGTTTTTAGTTTTTTTTTTTTTTTTTATGTGACTTGTATCTTATTTAGCAGCTTTAAATACCTATTTACAGGCTTGATGACTGTGGTAAGAGACTGGTACCGTGGGAGAGATTAACGCCTCAGCACATTAGTTCCCCATAGGCAGTGGAATATGGACATCTTCGCTGTAGCCAATGTCAGATTATGGAGGTGGCACATAATGCTGTCGTTATTTATTTGACACCTTGTTGCAACACCAGAACCCATCAACAACGGACTTACCTCGTACCCGTGCCTAGTGCCCCAATATAATTTTGCTATATGGTTATACGAGGAGAAGCCGTGTTGCAGCAACTAGACGCTCGCCTACGGGTTGGGGGATCGTGGGTTTGGGTTATGACAGAGTCGGACTTTGTTTTTGTTTTTATAATCTTGGTTTCCAGGTCGGCTCAGCCTTGAATAGGTACAATTTATAGACATGAGAAATAAAGAGCGCATCACCAAACCAAGTGCCGCTTAGTCTAAAATTTTAGGGCTAGCCCTATATGCCCAGTACGCCTGAAGGGGTGGAAAAGGGTGTTTTACTTTTTTTGGCTAGAAGATCGAACTGTTTCCCCTTTGTGGAGCTCCAGTATAACTGTGCTCTATGGCTGTCGGGTTGACGGTGAGTACGCGGTGACTGATGTGGTCAACATCACACCGGCCGCCTTTACTTCCCAGGACTGTACTGTACCTGGCACTCTGTCGCGCGCCCACGTGGGTAAATACACTGATATAGTGAGGGTGTGGGTTTGAACCTTAACAATGCCCACCCACGTGAGAAACTGGACTATTATCTAAGCTATGTTGATCCTAGACAGTCCTGGATAGCCAAGAAAACAGCGAGTGGCTCGTTCCATGAAATGAAAGTTGCTGTACTTGTATCCACAGGAGAAGGAGAAGGGATAGATAGATATCTGGATACACCCACTGTGATATAATCCAGGTGCTCAGTTAACCCCTGCGACTATTCTCCTCTCCTGGCATTACTTAAAAGCCCCCATCAAGTGATTTAAATATTTGTTAGCTGAAGTAAACTAATATGCACAAAGACACTTGAACATAAGTACACAATTTACTCAACTATCATGAAACTCATCACACATGATTTATTTTAATAAATCGAAATTAAAATGAACTTGATTAGGCTAGTAGAGTTGGAATGATGTGAATGATGACAGTTTGTACATATACTTTACTCCTAGTAGGAGAATTCACCGTCAGGACAGTTCTCGGCTTGAGACCCTGCCTATCTTTTCCAGTTTGTCGTCCTTATTGCTTTCTGCAGGTCGTTACACTCGACGGTCGGCAAATAATGGATGCCTACTAGTCCCTGCCCAATGTGGGAACTGGAGAATGAAGAAACAAGCGCATATTTGTAGTATCTGCTCTAGATGTACACTAAGCATGTATATTATACTAACATCAAGCGTGTTTATTTAAATAAAACATTTCATCTCTCCCTCATGCTCACATTCACTCATGTCCAATTTGGAAGGGCTTATGTCTCACATTCCAACTGTTACATCTTCTGCCTTCCTCTACACGTCCTGTAATGATAGTCAAGTCTTCTACGTCAGGTGCCATCTCTCGTACAGACTCAAATGACAATCAGTCAGACAGAACCAGTTCTGGAATCTATGCTTGGAACAATCGACGCGCCCAGAAAGCTAACAATATTTCTGAGGCGAATCGAATAAGAAATCTCGTGGATTTACTCTCCAGGATCAATCTCCGCATTAGCCTCT